CTCAATGGAGAAAAATAATAAAAGAAAGCTAAATTTCATGTCCTAAAAGGATCCTGCCGATTAACATCATTTTATTTCCTCTTTGATTATTTGTAAGTACATAAAGCTCCCACGGTACAAGCGAGAACAACTGAGCACAATCACAGGAGAAGGAAAACCCAGGTTGCCGTTAAACTTCCTTACTGACACAACACAATTTCGCATACGGAGATGTAATGCCTACCACAGGCACCCGTGTTTTTCCCCTCACGCTGGTTTTCTTCACAGCGTCACAGTTTAACGTGCAAAAGTGTGCTGAAACCTTGGCACACCCAATGCTGTGCAAGGCTGAGTCACACAGCTACGCTCTGCTATGGCAAAACCAACATGCACATCTTCCGCCTGCACTGCAGAGGGTAGAGAAAGCTCAGTGCTTTCTCAGCCAAAGCTATGTCTTGATGTCAAGAGGGCTGCCAGCACACCAAATGCTGTTTACATAGACTGGTGCGCCCCAACAGCCAGCTGCACCTTTCTTTGGCCCCAGCCCCCTGTCCCGTCACCTTGGTAGCAACCTCCTGTCTCACAGGGAGAGCAGAGCATTCCCAAACCGATCCTGGGTACCCACTTGCCCTTTGCTGGGCTCTGGTGAGGCACTGGAACAGGTTGCCCAAGGAGGTTGTTGATGCCCCATCCCTGGAGGCATCCAAGGCCAGGCTGGATGTGGCTCTGGGCAGCCTGGTCTGCTGGTTGGTGACCCTGCACAGAGCAAGGGATTGAAATTAGATGATCATTGTGGTCCTTTTCAACCCAGGCCATTCTATGATTCTACGATTCCAGGGACAGAGACTTTAGAAATCATAATTTGAAAGCGAAGACTCAAAATCAGGTATGCAGGTATAGATGTGCCCAGTAGTGACCTGCTCATGTGTGTACCTAAGAAAATAAACATGGAAACGTATTAAAATGCTCTAAGCTAACAGAATCAAAGTGCGTGAGGAAATAATGAGAGCTCAGCTTAACCTGCACAGTAATGGGGAATGAAAAAACAAAAGTCACCCACATTCCTGTGAGAAGCACTCTCCTCTGCAGAGACAAACCATCAGCAAACAAGCAAGAGCTGTGTTGGCATAACCTTGAGCAGGGCTTTTCATAGATGTATGGATCATCCCCTGTCTTACCACCCACCCATAATAACATGTCCTAAAACAATGAAAGATATATCTCGATATGCAGCATAAAATAATCCCGCTGAACCAATATGAGCAGAGGCACCAGAAGACACACTTGAAGCCCTCAGAACATGTTCCAAGCTATGTTCCCCAGTAACAGGAATGGGCTGACTTTTCACAAATAACCCCTTTGTAGGCAGCACTCCTGATGAGGCTCGGCTCAACTTGCAACTCTTTGCAGGCTGGCAGGTAACAAAACCAACCTCTGAGAACATTGCCAAAAGGAAGTAAATAATTAATCCGAGAAGGCACCTCGTCACAGAATCATCTGTGTTTTAGATACAAATTATAAAATCCAAACAAGAAAAAGCTCTCAGACAGCTCTAGCTCATCCCTCGCCTGAGCAGAGGCAGCAGAGCTGCAGCACTTTCAGGCTCAGGTGAGAGCAACACACAGAGGCAGGACCAGATGCCACCTTCTCTCAAACAAGAGAGCTAAGAGACTGCATCTGTTTACCAGGCTACAATAAACAGGCCACAATTTACAATAAAGCTTCAGACCAAAGGTCAGGTCTTTCCTTCATGATTTTATAGGCCCAGAAGCAAAAGTTTCTCACCTTTAGCGGGGGTGGAATTTCACATACATTATTCCCTATGCTCTGTCTCTGGCCCATATGGCACACAGTAAGAAGAAAACAGTACTACGGTATGCAGACGGCACTGTCCTGCACACCACAAAACCAAACCAATCAACCAAAAGACCACAAAGTCTTTCCAATAAAGAAAACAGAAAACCCCAACATTTTTTTAAGAGATGCAACCAAAACATTGCGTACATTGAGAACTCATCAGTGACATTCTGGGCATTTCTTTTACTCATTTAGTTGGGCTAAAACCGTATGAGTCAGTTAGAAAAGGCAGAAGCAAATCAAACAAAAGCACACAAAAGGGAGGTAGAAGAAGACAAAGAAAGGGAAGGGGAAAACTTCTTGATGTGCCCCAGCACAGGGCTCATTCCAGAGGCAGGCTTTAGTCTTCTTGCCCACAGACAGAGCACGGTTAAGCAAAGACCAGTTACAGCCCCCACAGGTCTGGTACACCAGCAGGTGCCAGCTGGGGTTCCTACTTCTAGATCTAGCTGTAGTTACAATTTCCACTACTCTGAGGTGCAGATGAAAGCAGAGTTTCTTTTTCTTTCTGTTACGTATCTAATTTCTGCAGGTGGAGACAGAGGCTTTCTCACATGGCCCAGAGTATCTCAGTGGGAAAAGAGTGACAGTTGCACTACAGGTTTCTAATCACTACAGGTTCTTCTAATTGACTGGTGGCAGTAGGAAAACAACCATAAAAACATTCAGTGAGATTCCAAATACCAACAGCATCAGACTGCAACTGCTGCAGTTTTGTGTTGCCCGACTTTTCGGCCATCAGCAGCTCAGAAGATAACTAAATGAGCCATGACTTCACTGATCCAACACATACATGTGTTTCGACCACATGTATGTGTCTGTCCTTTGCTGGATTACAGAAAGACCTTTCCCACTTGATCTTGGATTTTCTCCTGCAATTTTGGATTAATAGGAGCCTGGTTAGCTGCAGATACGTTTGGAAACAGCTGGGAAGCACTCAGAGAAAAGCCTTGGTGCAGTTTTCCAGAGCAGTGCATCTGTTTTGTCCTTCTCTTCCTGCACATGCCTGATCACCTCCTTCCCCACACGTAGCTTTCTAACGTTCTGCATTAGCACACGCTCACCTACACTAACTTGCTGTATCCCATCACAATTGAAGTCCTCCTCTGCAGTCATCTCCTGCTGAAATCTAATTTCCTACTGATGGCTCTATTTAAGGCAAGGATCTCTTTCTCTAGCAGTAGGCTCTTTCTGCTGAAGAAAAATCAGCTAGCTCCTCTTATCCTCGCAGTGACCTTCAATGATGTTCAGGGTACTATTTAGATTCAAATTTTGGAGTCTGACAAAAAGCAGTTACATCAGGCTAGCAACCAGCTGTGCAGCAACTGGCTGTTTCAATGGCTTTGCTCACAGAAAGAATTTTCTTTTAAATAAGCAAGAAAGCAAGGGAAAAAAAAAAAAAAGATTTGAGATGGGTTTCATGCCCAAAAACATCAAAATTCCTGGTTCCCAATTTCGTCGAAATGCTCATCCTATCATACACTGTAATTTTACTAGGAAGATGGAGGTGCACAAATTAAAATGGTATGGATTAGTAAAATCCAGCCTTACACAGTAAGCAACCAAAAAATTTGAAACAGTAGCAATTTTTCTCTCTCATATTTAGTAGCTCCAACCAAAAAAATTTACATGCCATGAAAAACCTCAACAAAGACTGGCATGTAGCTCACATAATTGAGGAAGTACTAATAATAGCGTGGCTGTTTGCACAGACAACATTTCCACTGTGGGCCTGAATTCAGATCTCAAATATGCAGAAGATGATATTTTGCTGTGTGTGGCTGGCTGGAGACTAAAACCCAAGTACTGGAATCCAATTGAGTGTGCTGCAAGATGCAGGCACTGCGTATATCCAAGCCACGTGGAAAACAGCACCTTTATTGTGTACTACGGAAGGTGATCACACTGTCTATTCTTGTTCTGAATGTACAGAAGATCTTGAAACAAAGCTATACTGTGGCATAGTACAAGAATGGAAGTGCATTTCAGCATCAACCATCAGTCACCACAGAAAAACTTGTCCTGACAGATAAGTACATTTCCAAGCTCCTCTGACACAAGTGAGCACAGTTCACAGCCACAGCTTTTCATTCTGCTCTACACAGCCTGGCTCCAGACATGCTCAGGTCTCCAGACCAGGGATGCCCAGAGCTGTGTGCTAATGGTGGTAGTTAAAGGTTTTACTTCGGGAGTCTGTCCACAGCAGCAGGTAGGCAGCCTTACACTTCTCAAGCTTTACTCTTTTACTCAAAATGAGCCATAGGTAACATAGAATCATAGAATGCCCTGGGTTGAAAAGGACCACAATGATCTTCTGTTTCAACCCCCTGCTATGTGCAGGTCACCAACCACCAGACCAGGCTGCTCGGAGGCACATCCAGCCTGGCCTTGAATGCCTCCAGGGATGGGGCATAGATAAAACATTTGCTAAATATTTTCATAAAGAGCACTTATTTTTAACATGTTTTTCTTTCATGCAATGAGGATTACCTAGAACAATTGTACAAAGCTAAAAGGTAGATTTCTATCTAGGAGAAGAATCAACAAGGATGATTAACAACAACCAATATACAGCAGAAAGAAATGCTGATGTGCAACACATGCATAGCAAGTGCACATTTTAACACGATGGTGCTTCATTTAAATCCCTCAGCTGGAAATTTAGATCAGCAATTAAATCATAGCCCTATGCAATGGTCTCATGCAGCATCACTGAGAGTTTCTGTGCAGGGAATATGCTGTAAGAACAGGCCGATGAGGCCTGCATAAAAGGTATTTATAATCCCAAACAAACAAAAAACAAAAATGCTGGAGCTTAAAAGTCTACTACTTTTGAGCAATGAATGTTATATTGCCATATCACTAACAGGACCATTTTCAAATCACTAGCTCGCACAAAATCAAAAGCAAGATACCTTTCTTTTGCTTTTAGTTTTAAGAAATTCCAACCTTGACCATTACTTTGTAACTTTTTAAGAAAGAAAAAAATAGGGAAGATGCTTATCCTGGAGTATAAGACACCACAGAAAGATCATATGCCTGTCACACCACCAAGGAACTGCTGTGACACAGCCATTCCACAGCGCGGGACGTTTCCTGGCCCTCGCGTGCGTTGGGCTGACAATGCTGTCTGTGTTAGGAGTGCTGTCCCCTTATCAACCCACCGCTGTCATCTGAGGAAACGTGGAGGCCAGATCCAGCTGAGCCATCCGACTCACTGCCTTTCCTCTCGTGGGCTGGCAGGGAGGCTGTAGACAAGGAGGAAGTTCTCAGTGGCAACGCGTGAAGCCTGCTCATGGCACGTGCCTGACGGTCCCACCAGCTGCTGCCTTCCTCAGCCATCAGCTGGGTAACTCCCCAGGTAGCCCCAGGCCACGTCCCCACACCTGCACAAACAGCACACCATGAATGACATCAGCCAGCTCACACATCTGTCTCAAGCTGTGCCAAGAACCCAACCACATGGAGAAAGACTATTCGCTATTAGATGCCATCCTGACTTTTAGAGAACAAAGCCGCATGAGCAGCACTTGGATGGAATGGGCAGCAAAACCAACCATGCATCGAGCAATCATTCTCTCCAAAGTTTTGTTCTGCACCCCTTATTGTCAGCATTAATGGATTATATAAGTCTAACATGCATTTTTTCCACACAAGCCACCCCTCTCCCAGCTACAAGTGCCAGATTGAAATTAAGGTATTTCAAACAGGTGAGTGATTTTTCACAACCATGCCATCAGCAAGGACTTAGTTCCAAGCCTTAAGGGACTTTCCCCCCATCTCCCTCAGGAGACCAAGCAGTTGCTCCCGAGGATGAAAACTTCCTAAGGTGTTGACCAGCACCAAGAGGGCAGGTCTGGCAAGAAGACTCCTGGCATGAGCCTTCATGTTCACAGGTACATGCCTAACATCATAACCAAGGATGTTAAAACCTGTCGTCTTCAGCACTGTCAGACCACAGCAGGATTTCCAGGCTTGGTGCAACAGCAAATCAGAGATAGAACTACAGTGTTCCATCATCTACTACAGAGCAAGATGCTCGAGCTGAATGAAACACAAGGAGGAAGCAATGATTTAGGATACACACCGTCTGTAATCCTGAACTGGTACCAATGTGAGATTGGCAAAAAAATACCTAAAATAGAGCAGTGGTATCATCTTGCTCTGTGACTGTCAGGGTGGGACAGAAATATAAGCCGGGGGGAACTGTCACCACACATTACCAAGCACTCTGATCCGTACCCAACATGCTCACGCTTCTGTAGAAGAAGCTGTTGCGGCAAAGCAGCCCAGCCAACATTTCTGGAAGCAAAAGTTCAGTGATCCCTGAAACATCAGAGCTTGCAGTGGTCACAGTGCCAACGTTAGAAAGTCATCAGCCGGGAAGAGTGCGGGGCAAAGGTCTGTGCCAAGCCGCGATGGGCCTGGCAAGGGACCACGACTCACATCACCAAAAGGTGCTGTTGGAAGAGAGGTCCGTGTGCGCTCCGGCACCGAGGGAGGAGGCCTGAAGCACAGCACCGTGCTAAGGGAGGCCTCGGACCGACCCGCAGCCCGACGCCGCCAGGTCCCCTCCTTCCGTGCCCCGGCACCATTTGTCGGCGGAATACCCCCAGATCACCGCTGAAAGCCACGGCCCAGCGGGCGACGCGCACCGCCGGCATGGGAGAAGAGCGAACGACATCGCTGATTAAGCAGCGGGCTCGCGACCGGAGCGGGTTGCGATACCGAGTGAGAGGACGGCAGCCGTCTCCCCGCCGTCCGTAACGCAGCCGCCGGCGAGGTGAGGCGAACGCCCGCAGCGCGCTCCGCCGTCTCCCGCCTCCTCCGCATCCCCGCCGGTGCCGGCGGGCGGCCGCCGCTCAGCGCGATGCCGGGCGGGGCTCGGACCCCGCCGAGAGGCCGCCGCCGGCCCCAGGTGAGCGCCGGCCCGCCCCGCGGCGCCCCCCAGCCTCTCCGCGGGCGGCCCCGGCGGGACAAAGCCCGAGCCGCCCGCACACCTGCCCGCCGGCCGCGGGCCTCTCCGCGGGGCAGGTGCGGCGCTCGGGCTGCGCCCCGCCCGGACGGCCCCCGAGCCGCGGTCTCACCTCGGCGGGCAGCAGCAGCAGCAGCAGCGGCGGCAGCAGCAGAGGGAAAGGCGGGAGCAGCGGCAGCCGCCTCATGGTAGCGGAGATCGCTCCCCGCCGCGCGCACGGCCGCTCAGCCCGACGCCGCCTCCCCCGGAGACATGGCCGGACCGCGCGCCCCGCACCGCCCGGCGAACCACCCTTGCGCCGCCCTCCCAGGCGGCGGCGGCGGCGGCGCGCCCTCCCCCTAGCGCTGCGCGGCCGAGGGCGGGGCCGGGAGCCGCCGCCGCCCGGGGGAAGCCCTGCGCGGGGCGGGCTGTGGGGGCGAGCGGGGCGGCCGGCGGCGGGAAGGGCCGCCTCCCCGCGGCCTAAACGCCCCTCCTCCCGGCATCCCATAGCGCTGCGGGACGGACGGACCCCTCCGAAAGCTGTCTGCGCCCTGTCCGCGCGCTGAGCCCCGTCACTCGGTTATCGCCTCCCTTACTGCCCGGGCTTCTTGTGCTGTTCATTCATTTCAGATGAGGGAAGGCGGGAGGCGAGGACAGTTCACGTCGCGTACCTTTGATTATGGGAACGCTGTCTTTATTTCCTCACAAGTTTGGAGTTGATGCCGGGGCAGGACATACCTTCATACCGATAAGACTAGGGGGAAATAGCCAATTATTTTTAAAATCGTCGGGGCACGCTCAAGTAAGGAAATAAGCACTATGTGCAATCCATTCATAAAGCGTCTTATCTATCCCATCCATTCAGCACAAGGCACCTGGGAATTACTGTCTGGCTGACGACTCTTCTGATGAACCACAGCTGCCAGAAGTCTCACTGGCTGCGGTGAAGTTGTTATGCTGAGGTTACCTCACCAGATCAAACCCTACAATTTGGAAATTACACCTTTAACTCAAAACCCCTGGTGTGCCTGCAAAGAGCCCCGGTGGCTCTGAATTGCTGAACTGTAGCTTCTGCCTGCGCAGAGTTTCACTTGCATCTAAAATACAACCAGCCACCGTGACAGCTTCAGATCCCGGTTACGCTGCGCAACCTCACTTGAGCAATTGTACTTGGTCATCCTCAGTTTTGAGAGTGAGAACACTGTGGCATTTTTAATTGCATGCCTTTCCAGTACAACAACCTACCAACTAAGCCAGCTACCCCCAAAATTCAGTGGGAATCTTTCTGCTGATTTAATCAGCAGTGACATCCCGCCCTGAGGAGGGACATTAAAAACGAAATGCATTGAGACAGCAAGAATTGGGATTCTGACCTGTTCATTTTTATAAGAATCCTGAAGTTGGTGTTATTGTCTCCAAACTCTGAGTGTCCTATTTTCATGCACAGCCTATGCAGAGTTTATGATCATCACTTTCTCACGCAATACTTGTGGCTGAGTTCTCACAGCTACTCCTACGTCCAGTACCCAACAGAGAAGGCCTACGAAGTTTTGGGAGAAAGTCTCATTGCTGAAGCACGCAGAGTCATAAGGAACAAAGAAATTTATGTGTAGCAAAGTGGAGTAGTTCTATGATCAAATAGAACTTAAATGTATGTATTTAATTGTAACTGTAACCAATGGCATCGCATTTGCCATAGTTCCTTATTGGGTGAAGTTCAGCTGGAATAGAAAGAGTGCAGGAAGTTTGTTACTGTTTTAGAGTACAGTACTTACTGTTAGTAGACCTCAAAGGACTAACTCCTTTCCAGAAAATTTCTTGCCTGCAAAACATATGCAGACAGCAATATGATGCTGCCTGCACCCAGGAAGTGAGCAATCAGGATTCACTGGTAGCTGAATAAGCTCAGATATGCTGAAGATGGCCACAGTATGAAATGCCAAGAAACATAAAGCACTAAAAAGTGTAATTTTTTGTAACAAAAAAAAAAAAAAAAAAAGAAAGACAAAGCAAAACAAAACCAAGACAAAACAAAAGAAAACAAACAAACAAACAAAAAAAAACAGAAGCGCAATTTTCATCTGATTCATTGAAAAAAATGGTAGTAAACTTTTGTGTGTGAACCAACTGAAGAAATATTCATCTGCTTGGGACTGTTTAAAATAACTGCATAAATATTCCCAGCTATTCTGATTACATTTTGAGAGCTCTGTGGAGAAAAAAGGTCACATGTGTCTGAGAGCTTCCTTGGATCAGGGCCTCTGGTCTTCACAGCATGTGCTGGTTGAATGCTAGCCATGCAGACCACAGGAAAGAGCTGGACAGCAATGAGTTGCAGATTCATGCCAGAATTTGGGAGTTCACATGCTGAAAAAAAAGAGAGAAATTAAAAGCCCAGAATTTTTTAAGAGCCTTCCTGTTGTTCATTGTTCAGCAGCAATATCCATCACAGACAATAACTTCCCAGGAATTAGAGGTTCAATTTTGCATTTCAGGCCACAGGCCCTTTACAGATTAATACTAACCTGCTGGAAATTCCCTGAATTACAACTGTGGTTGCCTAATTTTTTGTATAGATAAATTTTGTTTATTCTGCAGGCTTATATTAAAGCTTTGTGTGTCAGGATTATAAAAACTGGGTTGGTGTTGCTCCTAGGCTAGAGCTTCTAGTGCACTTTCATCCAAAAGTTAATTTGTGCGTCTGAATCACAAATGTCTTCAAAAGGCAGCATCAGAGGGAAGCGTTTTCACATCCTTGTAATCAAGTTTTTGAACAAGAGACTGAAGTTTAAAATGGCCTTGGGCTCTTGCACACAAATCCAGGAGGAATGTGCAGGCGTATTACTTATGGGTGCTGCAGTTTATACAGTAAAGTGTATTACTTATGCTCCAGGCAGAGAGAAAGGGAAGACTGCAAAATATACAGTAATCCAAAGCTGTCCAATTCAGAGCAGTCACCCTGGCTGATAAATATCTGTCTTTCACTGAAACTGGCAATTAAATAGTTTCTAAAAAAAAATAATAAATCAGTGTGGCTATATTTAACTTCATCCCACAGCCAGCCTCCATCACAATGGCATATTCTCATTAGTTATTCACAGTTTCATTCATCAGCTTGATGCAGTGTCAGCCAAAAGAGGGATCAGATTGTTGAGCACCATCAGGAAGGGTGTTATGAACAATGCAGGGAGCATCTTTTTGCCAATATGTAAAACCCAGGTGCACCCACATCCTGTGCGCTGTTCTGGTCTCAGCATCGCAAGAAGGACAGAATGGACGTAGGGAAGGCACTGAGAAGGGCAGTTAAAATGACTGATGATGGGGCAGCTGTCTTGCATGGGGAGACTTAAAAAGATAAGGCTTCTCAACAGAGAGGAGAAAGATACTGGGATGGATGGAAAACTGTTATCCACCTAGAACTAGGGATCATTCAC